AAAAAAGAGAACAAACAGGTCTTTGCTAGAAAGTGGTTGGGAGTATTAGCAGAAAAAAAGGAACACAGTTTAAAAAGGAAAAGCAAATATTCCTCCAATTCTGTGACTATTTTATCAACAAGGTGACGGTTAACAAGCAAAACAAGGAACTGTGAACTTGACAGGTTACCGGGACCTTCAGACATAGGAAATAGTTGCTCTCCACCAAATAGAGCAGCACAGAGCTCACAATGCTCAAGTAACAGAGATGGGGGTGAAGAAGATGGTTGGGGCATAATTAAAATCTTCACTGACTGACAACGGGGAATAACTGAGAACAGAAGAGAAATTGAAAACAATTCTAGAGATAGTCCATAAAGGAGATAATATAAGAAAATAACATTTTACAAATATAGAGCTAATCTCCTCACTTTAGTAATCAGTATATTAAAACACTGGAATTTAATTTTTATTGTACACTGTTATATTCTGTGTGTTACTTTGCTTTTAAGTGAAGACTGAAGATTGTTCAACAAATGTACACTATTTTATATGTTTACATTTGTCTAAGGGGAAAAAACCAAAGTTTCCCAACTCTATTCTTTATTTATTTGGACTTAAGAGACCTCTCTAAGAGGGTGTGCATGATCCCAAATGGCCCCTGAATGCAACAACAGAGGGAACTGAATAATATCCCACTGTTTACTTTAGTAATGAAATCACCACAAATACTGAACCAATTGTAAGAAAGAGGAAATTGGAAACTTCTTTTGAATTCCAAGACAAGGTCCTTAACTATCTGGCAGTTACCAGACTGTTCCCAATATATTTTTTTTTTTATGTTATCAAAATGGGTAACACCAGTTCATAAGCAGAGATTGGTTCTTTGGCTNTACTTTGCTTTTAAGTGAAGACTGAAGATTGTTCAACAAATGTACACTATTTTATATGTTTACATTTGTCTAAGGGGAAAAAACCAAAGTTTCCCAACTCTATTCTTTATTTATTTGGACTTAAGAGACCTCTCTAAGAGGGTGTGCATGATCCCAAATGGCCCCTGAATGCAACAACAGAGGGAACTGAATAATATCCCACTGTTGACTTTAGTAATGAAATCACCACAAATACTGAACCAATTGTAAGAAAGAGGAAACTGGAAACTTCTTTTGAATTCCAAGACAAGGTCCTTAACTATCTGGCAGTTACCAGACTGTTCCCAATATACATATTTTTTTTATGTTATCAAAATGGGTAACACCAGTTCATAAGCAGAGATTGGTTCTTTGGCTTAATTTTTATCTAGTATGAAGAGCAAGAACAAACGGACTATGAACCCCACTTATACCTATGGTTCAAAGCAAAACTTGAAGTTTCTTCAGTAATATCCTTTCTTCCCATTTACCCTTCCTTCACCCTCCCTTTGCCTTCCCCAGGTGGCAGCTTCCCTGTGGACTTCCCCATTACTGTACTAATTTGAGGGTTTCTTTGTGGCACTGTCTCCTAGGGGTTAAGATTTAGCAGATATAAACATGAATGTTTGCCAACTGGGTCACTCTGTCTTATCTGGCTGATGCCTCTTGAACTTCTTTGTTCTTACTACACACCCAGGACACAGAGCTCCTCACAGAAGATCACAATCAGGTTTGGAAACTGGGAATCCTAATCATAAGGGAGGTCCAGGTGCAAGTGTGTGTAATTACACAAAGCAGTCTCTAAGCAGTACTCACACAGGATGGAAGAAGACAGAAAGCCCCTTGGCAGGCTCAGGAATGTGGTGCCAGGAATGGTGGGTTGGGATCAGACTGATGATCAGTTCACCTGGCCAGCTCTGCTACGAAGTTGATATTCCCGACAAGGGCATTTACCCCCATGGGGAGTGGAACAGAATCCTCTTAG